TGAGGCGACGTGAAGTGATAGCTTGGCTCTGACAAGTCGATGATCAATGTCAGAGTGATCTGAGACACGCATGGCGCGGGTGATGAGGACATCTCGGCGATCTCTTTCTCTGACAATGATGTAGTCAATGAGGTGCCAGTGTTTGAATCGTGGGTGTTGCCACGAACCCTTTAACCTGTCGGCCTGCCGAAACAAGGTATTGGTGATAGGAAGGCTGTGCGCAGCACACTTTTTGAGGAGGAGTAGGCCGTTGGCATTACACTTGCCTAGTCCATTTGTTCGTACGGTTCCCTGCCAAATGTCAGCATCTCTGCCGTCTCTAGCATTGAAGTCGCCAAGGAGCGCAACCTTGTCTTCTCTGGGGATCGAAGTTAGCAATCTGTCAAGGTCGGCGTAAAAGGTCTCGTTGATGTCAACCCCTGCATCCAGTGTTGGGGCGTATGCACTGATGACAAAGGGATGACGTGAGTGATTCAGTGGGATTCGAAGCGCCAATAGGCATTTCAGTTAGCCTGTGTAGGATGTGTTGGCGGATGGCAAAGCCAACTCCATAAGTCCGGTTTCTCTCCGCAGCAGGCTTACCCTTCCAGAATAAGGTAGAACACAGACCCCCGTTCTGTGAGCTGGCCCTCATCTGAGAGCCGGAACTCGCTGATGGCTGCTATGTCGATTTTATACCTAGCCAGCTCTTTTGCTACAAGGGCGGTTCTTCTTTCAGGACGCTCATTTGTGCCAGTATCCAGAAGGGTCCTGACATTCCATGCAGCGACCATAAGAGGTTGTATGGTTTGTTTTCGTTTGGATCTTTGATTTTGACAGTGTTTTCGACCGCATAAGGATGACCTTACTGGGTGTTGTTGCCCAGTCAGCACCTTTTCAAGTGGCTCCTCGAAAGGGCTGTTCAGTCGCACAGACAGAACCGAATTGCACTGCTGCCTAGATCCCAGTCCATAACCGACCATCTTATCTGTGCCGCCCACGTGCCTGTTCCCGTAGCCATAGTACTTTTGGGGGTATAGGGGTTTTGGTGATGATGAGAGGGGTGATGAACTGGATGATGGCTGCGCGTGAGTTGGCTTATGTGGTTAGGCTGGCGCATAGGCTGCAACCACACATCTTGGCTCTCCCTTTTCCTGATCCAGTGGTGCAATTGTTGCAACGACTGGGGAGAGGGAGAGTTGCATTGGACTGCCGATAGCCCAGTTTTTTGAGTTTCACCTTAGTAGCCTGTCCATCAGGCATTGACTTTGTCCGCCGGTGTAGTCGTTGGGTTTCCACCTTGGTCACCTCTTCCGCCTATGCCGCCATTGGGGTCTTGTTGGAGCTCTGTCAGCATGTCTGCCTGATGCGGGGCTCCACCGCAGATCTTTCGTTCGGTGTTTACTCCCGTAGCCTTATACCTACCAAGGTTAACTCACAAGGCAGCAGGGCAGTGGTTGGTAGGCGCCAGAACGTGTCCACATGCCAGTGGGCCTATGCGCCGTCCCTCTGGGGCCCACTGCTACTCCGAGATCCCCTGCTGGTCTAGCCTGGGCCCACGAGGCACCCAGTTGCCGTGTGTTGCCACGAGGAGGCACAGCAGGAGTCTTGATGATGAAGAGGCTGTGTATTGGCAGGGTAAGACTTATGCAAGTTGCTTCCTTGTTCGCCACGAGAGCTAGCCGGCGGCGGTAGCTGAAAGCGAGAGGAAGCAAGCAGTGCTTGCACCTTAACACTAACATAGTGCTGCCACACTAGACGCAATTCACCACCCTGTGTGCGACACACGCACACACACACACACACACACACACACACACACACACACACACACACGGAACATAATTTTAATGATAATGTTTAACAAAACAATCATACGTATTTTCTGGGAAAATCATCCGCTGTCAAGTACAGAAGCTGGTGTATAACGGACAGTACACAGTAAGATATAGGGACCTCCGCTTTAACGGACTGTATACCTGCATTGTCGATATTTTCAGAACACGACAAACCAGTTCGAAACATGTATGAAGATTTTACTGAATAAATATCAATGAATCACCAATCGACCGTGGCTGAAGACTCACCAGTACAGGATGAAACAACAACACGGACCCTGTTCTTGGTGTGTCCAGTCAGCCATTTCTCTCAACTTCCTGTCATCAATTGCTCGCACGCGCGCCATACTTTGATCAAGAATGAATACATAATGAGGTAATTTTATGGACCTCGGACAGCGATTTGTCTCCTAAGTCACCCGTCCAATGTGTGTGTGTGTGTGTGTGTGTGTGTGTGTGTGTGTGTGTGTGTGTGTGTGTGTGTGTGTGTATGTGTGTGTGAGGGAAGGGTTACAGCAACCTGGGAGGAAATACAGTAGGGGTGATATGGTCCTGTGAAGAAGAGAGAGAGAGAGAGAGTAGAGAGATCTCCAAATAAAAGGTTGAAAGAGTATAATGATAAAAGGGGAACCAGAGGAAAAAATGGAAAGCAAGACAAAAACGTGAACAAAGAAACGCGTGGATGAAACGAATGATAAGGCAACGCAGTTAGAAATACACTAGAAACGTAGCTAGTAATTACTTCAAGCTTTTTAGAAACCAATAGAAGTGAACTAGCGGAAACGAGTTAAAACCATTGGAAACGAACTTGAAAACTGAAAACAAATTAGAAAACATAGGAAGGAAAAGGCATAGAAAGAACATAATAACAGACACATGATGTTTAGATAATAGGCAGAGAGAGAGAGAGAGAGAGAGAGAGAGAGAGAGCAAAATAAAACTCACAAGCAAATAGGGAAGAGGGGGAACAGGATAAAAGGACATGTAATTAGTAGAGACATACAAGGAGACGACGTTAAAGAAATAGACATAGCAAGAGAAAATAACCGGTAAATAAGAGGAGGAGGAGGAGATGTAATTAGTAGATATGAAAGAAACTAATATGAAACCTCCATATAACGGACTTGGATTTAACGCACTTCAATATAACGGACTTGGATTTAACGGACTTCAATATAACGGACTTGGATTTAACGGACTTCAATATAACGGACTTCAATATAACGGACTTGGATTTAACGGAATTCAATATAACGGACTTGGATTTAACGGACTATCCTCTTACATAATAGTATCCATTCGAAGGTTTCATATATAACGAACTACACTCCCTCTCATATAGTCCGTTAGGAGGAAGTGTCTTATTTAACGGACAAGAAAAAAGTGGCAGGGATATACATGATAGAATGATGAACGAAAGAGACGCAGTGAAAAAAAAAATAATAAAAAGAGACTTGGGAGAAACGAAGATGGAATAATTTATAGTGAGACAGGACACCAGGCAATAAAGAAGAACATAGGAAAAAGAACCATTAAGAAGAAGGAAGTCACAAGGAACAGAGAAGGATACGAAGATGGAGCAATAAAGAAGGACATGGAGGAAAAGGAAGGATGAAGGAGACACGGGAGACAAAGAAGAAGACGTAGCAAAGACACAATAAGACGGGTGGGAGACAAAGGATTTATGGAAGGCGTAACAAAGAAAGAATAAAGCATCGGAAGCAAGAGAAGATGCAATAAAGACAGGGAGGAAGACAAAGGAAATATAGAAGAAGCAATGATGCAATAAAGAGGGAATCTGGAGGAAGGAAAATCAAGGAAGAAGAGAGAGATGGGACAAAGATAGAGAATGAGAGAGAGAGAAGGGGGAAGAAATACGGGACAAAAAGTGAGAAAGAGAGAGGAGGCAAAAGGAGAGAGAGAAAAGGGGACACGTAGAGAGAAATGTAGATGAGAAAGAGAGAGAACAAGTAAAGAGAAAAAGAGAGAAGGGACAAAGAGAATGATACGAGACAGAAAAAGAGAATGGGAACGAAGAGAGAGAATGAGAGATGAGACAAAAAAAAGGGAAAGAAAGAAAGAATGAGAGGAGATGAAGAAAAAGAGAACGGGGACAAAGAGAGACAGAGAGGAGGATTCGAACCACTGCTCTTGATTAAACAGGAGGAAAAATCTCTTAAACGAGGAAATTGAGCAATATCCCGCATCATACACCTCACTGTCTTGTTATTGACCAGTTTTCTTCCTCTTGTATTTAATTAACTTCTAACTCAACTCTCTCTCTCTCTCTCTCTCTCTCTCTCTCTCTCTCTCTCTCTCTCTCTCTCTCTCTCTCTCTCTCTCTCTCATCAGGTGTCTTCTATTTAATTAATCATTTAGCTCATTTTCTTGTATCTCTTTCATTTTCTGATTATTATCACTCTGTCACTTTCTTCATTCTGTTTGCTTCGTTATTACCAAGTCGTTTTACTCTAATTTATGTTATTTAATTATCGACTATGTCACTTTCTTGTATTTAATTAACGACTATGTCACTTTCTCCTTAAGTTTTCCACCTTCACTTTCTATAAAATTTCAACAGTTACTTTCCTTTGATTTTGGACTGAATCACTTTCCATGTTTATAAGTATTGGTTATCAATACGTGTGTGTGTGTGTGTGTGTGTGTGTGTGTGTGTGTGTGTGTGTGTGTGTGTGTGTGTGTGTGTGTGTGTGTGTGTGTGTCTATATTAATGACGTCAGAGAAGCTTTCATTGAAGACAGTAGATATTTTTATATTGGTCAGATCATCATTGTTTTTATTGATTATTTTAAGAATATTTGTATTGGTGAGGTTGTTTATGTTTTTGACGTCACAGATGTTCATAATGGTGACGCGTCAGAATAGGTCAAGTAACGTCATAGTTTTTTCATTTGCTTTCTATTTTATGGTTAAATAAATTTCTATGAATCACTGGTCTTAACACACACACACACACACACACACACACACACACACACACACACACACACTGAGGAACACTTCATAAACCTGCATTAAAATGTTCTTGTTCATTCTCTTAATTTATTCCACGTTTCTGAACAGATAAAATTCAGTGTATCATTTTTCTGTTATGCTGTTGACAATTAACTCATATTTTGCCTTCACCGTGTTTACTTTTCCTTGTTCTCGTCTCTCACTTACGTCGCTTCTTTCATGCTCAACTGAATCACTCCCCTTCTTTTTCCTGGTCTGGTCTTGGCTGGTCTGGGCTGGGCTGACTGGGCTGGTCTGGTCTGGGCTGGGCTGAATGGTCTGGTCTGGTCTGGTCTTGGCTGGGCTGGCTGGTCTGGTCTTGGGCTGGGCTGGTCTGGCTGGGCTGCTGGTCTGGTCTGGGCTGGGCTGAATGGTCTGGTCTGGTCTGGGCTGGGCTGGGCTGGTCTGTGAACATTTTTGTTTGTTATTTGAAACACTTTTTTGAGAACCAAGCATCACACACACACTCTCTCTCTCTCTCTCTCTCTCTCTCTCTCTCTCTCTCTCTCTCTAATGTATCAATTCTGCTCAGAGTTACTGCACACATCAACTAAGTATTAATTCCTTTCTCGCTTTCATCTCTCCATTACCGCCGTATGCCTTTCCTCTTCCTCTTCCCTTCCTCTCTCATCTTCTCCCTTCCCACTTTACAACCGGAGTGATGGGACAAAGGTGGAATAGCAAAGAGATTTCATGGGAAGGTTGATGAGAGGTGGGTAGGATTTGCCCGTCAGGATTCGCCTCTAATTTAAACACAACAACAATACCTAATGCCAATAGGAGTTTGGCTGGCATTTGGAGTGGTCCAATGTTGGAGGTCAGGGAGGGGAAGGGGTCTTGGAGGGGGGGAGAGTGGGGGTTGATAAGAGAGTAGAAGGCGATTCGACACTAACACAGACAAAACTATAACTGTTGAAGGTCCATTCAATTGGAGCTAGTCTAACATTTGGAGGAGTTCAGTGTTGGAGGTTTAGGAGGAGAGATATAGGAGGGTAGGTAGGGGGTTAGGTTAGGTGGTGAGGGAGGGGGAGAGGGGAAAGTGAGGCGTCTCTAATAGAAACACAACAAGGATAGACTCATGCCAATAGCGTTGGAGGCGTCTGGCATTTGGAGTGATTCAACGGTGTAGGAGAGGGAGATTTAGGAAGGGGGGGTGATGGGTAGAGGTAAGGAGGAGAGGGGGAGGTAGGGGGGTGGAAGGGGGTCACAAAAGCCCTCTCGGCGTCTGAGAGAAGTAATTAGTGCGGAACGCTGTAAAGGCCATGAAACGAGGCAGGAATCTCGCGGTTTGACAGGATCCAGAGGAATCCTTGGGGGTGGGGGGTTGACGGGACCCCAAAAATCTTCGGGGATGGTGACGAAGAGGCTTGGCCGATCCCCAGGTATCTGTTAGGAAGGAAGGGATGTTGACCAGATCCCACTAATCTCAACTAGGGAGGCGGTAACTCGATCCCAGGAATGTACTGACCTGACTGCACCCCAAGAATCTTAGGTGTATTGGAGATGTTAATTCGACTCTAGCAGTATTGGGAGTATCCATAGAAACCCAGGATTCTTTGGGGCGGTGGGAGGACCCCTGAAAGTTTAATGTTGATAAAAGGCGGAACCAGGGATTTGCGCGGCATTGCCAACACCCCAGGAACTTTAGGGGTGTTGGACATTACCCCCAGGATCCTTGGGGATGTTGACCGTACCCCAGGAATATTGAGACCTTTGGCGAACTCGAGGGAAGTCGAGTTACAAACAGATTTCTTCCCATTCCGACTAGCAATAGGAAACCTAAGAACACTTGTGGTCCATCTTGCAGTGAACTTATCTCTCGTCCGTCCGTTCGGGGTTTATGTCAGCACGGTTACTTGAACAAGTATAAGAGGATTTTAATCAGACTAGATATTCAGGCGACCCACAACACTATCCCAGACGAGTTCAATAATCAGTATTTCCTGCTATTAATGTACAATGGACAGGGAGGGATTTGGGTCACTGGAAGCGGTAGCCTTATTGGTGCATGTAAATAAATAATTCCTTATTGTATTTTAATACTTGATTAATATTACAGGTGTCTAATTAATGGTTGTTTTTAATTACAGGTATGTCAGTCACCAAGCTGTAACTGGACCTTGTGAAGCTTATTAAGGTGAGGAGAAAAAGAGTTTTAATAGATAGATAGATAGATAGATAGCTAAAAGAACATAGTAATAGGTGGATTGGTATAGTTGGGAGGATAGGCAGGTTTATGGAGGGATAGATAGACTAGTAGGTGGGTTGACACGTATGAGACAGACAGACAATAAAATAGAAACAGTGATGAAAAGAAAGAGAACGAGAGTCAAACAACATAAGAATGAGAGCAGATCTACCACGAACCAAAGAGTCACACAGACAGGCAGACACAGACAGGCAGCCACGGACAATTATTATAGACAGTCTAACAAACTGAAGCGACAGATCTCATGGTAAAATTCTGTCCAACATCATTATGGTAAAAAATCATAGGGTAATAAAAATAGTTTAAGAGAGAGAGTAGGGGGGAGTGGAGTGGAGTGGAGTGGGCACTTAAGGAGTAAGAAGTGGAGTAGCTTTAGGCAGTGGGCAACCCTATCCTCTTTCACCATCACAAGTCACCACTATCATTACAACCAGTACCGCCGTTATTGTTACGATCACCATCATACCGTAAACGTGTTTTTTTTTTTTTATTATTTTTTTCACTTATTATTTCTCTTTGTTATATGTTTCTAGTAGTTATTCATCTCTTTTATTCATTTTTTTACTTTCTATCCTTCATTTCGTTTTTTTTCTTTAAATCTGTTTTTTCCAGTAATTTTTAAATTTTAAATTGTATTATTAACATTTATGAATTACACTATAGTAGTTTATAATTTTTTTAATACTTTTATATTTTCGTTATTTAAAACCTTTACTATATTTTATGAATTAGTTTAGTGTTAATGCTTGCTTTCATCTTTTTGTATTCTTTTTGCTTTGCTTTTATTCATGTATTCGTTTTATGTATGTATGTATGTATGTATGTATGTATGTATGATGTATGTATGTATCTCTCACTTTATCTTTTATTCGTGTTATTAAAACTGGCAGAAAGTGGAGCAGCGAGCCGCCCACACCACCGCCCTGGGATAAAAACATTGACAGACTGACACAGAGGTTGAGAAAATACTGGACGGTAAAGGAAAAGAAAAATGCACGTCGCGGTGACCTTTTTCCCCAGGTGGTACAGTACAGCCCCGGGCCTCACTCATCCAGTCCCCGGGTCTCACTCATCCAGCCTCGGGTCTCACTCATCCAGCCCCGTCCAGCCCCCCAGGCCTCACTCATCCAGTCCCCGGGTCTCACTCATTGATCCCCGGATCTCACTCATCCAGCCCGGGCCTCACTCATCCAGTCCCCGGATCTCACTCATCCAGCTGGGCCTCACTCCATCCCAACCCCGGGGCCTCACTGTCGGGTCTCACTCATCAGCCCCTGGGCCTCACTCATCAGTCCCAGGCCTCAATCATCCAGCCCGGGCCTCCATAAATCAGCCCCAGGCCTCACTCATCAGCCCGGGCTCCTCCCATCCAGTCCCCAGATCTCACTCATCCAGCCCAGGTCTCACTCCATCCAGCCCTGGGCCTCACTCATCAGTCCCCGGGCCTCAATCATCAGCAGACTCACCCTACCCAGTCCCGGGCCTCAATCATCAACCACAGGGCTAATCATCCTTCCCCAGATCCTCCCACTCATCCAGCCCCGGGTCTTACTCATCCGGCCCGGGCATCACTCATCCAGCCCCCCCAGACTTCCTCCACTGTTCAGCCCAGGGCCTCTCATCGCCCGGGCTCACTCCATCCAGTCCCCGGATCTCACTCATCCAGCGGTCACTCATCCAGCCCTGGGCCTCCTCCCCTCATCCAGTCCGGGCCTCAATCCTTCGGCCCGGGCCTCACTCACTGATCCAGGGCCTCACTCATCCAACCCCGGGCTTCAATCATCCAGCCCCAGTCCTCACTCATCCAACCCCGGGCTTCAATCATCCAGCCCCGGGCCTCACTCATCCAGCCCCGGGCCTCACTCATCCAGCCCCCGGGCCTCACTCATCCAGCCCCGGGCCTCACTCATCCAGCCACCTTAACTTAACCTACCGTTGTCTGACAACCTAATCATATCGATGTTAACATTTCCTAACCTGCATTAACTTGACGTAAACGAGCTTAGTGTTACGTAATCTAATCTAATATTCCTAACCTACCTATCTTAATCTAATTTAGAATACCTCTAACCAGACCTCACATAACCCAACCTAACCTACACTACCAAACAGGGAGGTACTACCGCCTGGGAAGATATTGGAAGCATAATGTTGTTGTCTAATGGTAGACCCTGCTGCCATATGTGACCAAGTCCAGGTTGATGATCTGACTTTCTGCCTCATTTACACACAGTTGCAGGGTCTCAATTGTTTCTCTTACTATTGACAACACAACATATATAACGTTTCTCACTCTTGATTTGTTTCATTTTCCATTTCTGTATTTATTTTTGGTTAGTTTTTTTTCCATCCTCCAGGTCCTAATATGGGTTGGTGACCTATGCCTGGGTGGGGTAATCCCGTAAAAAACTAGGCTAACTTAATCTAACCCTAACCTAACCCTACCTATTTAACCCTAACCAAATCCAATCTACCCTAACATGACCTAACGTCCCTTAACCTACTTTAACCTACAGTACCTTAACATAATCTTCCCCTGAACTAGCTTAACCTAATTACCCCTGACCTAGTTTTACTTAATCTACCCCTAACCAAAGCAAACCCAATTTAATCTACCCTTAGCTAGACTAACTTAACCTACCCTTAACCTAACTTAAAAAACCTAGCTCAACTTAATCTACCTCGTAATCTACCCCGTAACCTAACCTAACAAACTTAATCCACCCTTAATCTAACCTAACCTGAACCGCACTAAAATAAATTATCTTTATTCTAAACTAATGAAACCTAACCTAACCTATTGTGTGTAGGCATTTGGGTTAGGTTCTCCCCGGCATTATTACAACTGTGTATTGTATTTTGTAAGTTATTCGATAGTGGAATGTGCTTGGTACGGAGATTATTAACTCTGGGTGTGAGTTATAGTAGCCAGTAGTCGCACTAATAAATAAATATCGGCTTGGTGAGAGATACAGTATTTGTGATAAGAAAAATACCATCTATATGTTTTTATTATTTTATTGTAATTAATGAAAAACAGATAAGTAAGAAAGTAGAACATTAAGGGTAATTAAATAATGGGAAAAATAGAATAAGAATTGACGATTAGTTAACCCACAGTAGAAGAATAATCCACCCGTCAGTTCAGGAGAGACAAGTATGTTTGGTGACATGACAGAGTTTGTTTACACGAGGACAAGTTCTTTTGTTTATGTGTGTGTGTGTAATAATAATGATAATAATTAACGGTTTATTAAGATAACATGGCAGCCAGAAAGCTGAAAATATACAATAAACAGAGATAATAAGTTATTTATGGTAAAATTGGTGAGTGGGTCACTTGATTGACAAAAGCTTTCTGTACACAAACATAAGAAACATAGAGTCAACATATAGATTAACTGTACATCTGGTACTGTGGGAGCTGGTCTTGTAAACAGTCGTGTGACCTGATATTGGCGCCAACAGTCCTTCCCACTGTATGTGTGTGTGTGTCGTGTGACCTGATATTGGCGCTAGCAGTCCTTCCCACTGTGTGTGTGTGTGTGTGTGTGTGTCTCGTGTGACCTGATATTGGCGCCAGCAGTCCTTCCCACTGTGTGTGTATGTGTGTGTGTCTCGTGTGACCTGATATTGGCGCCAACAGTCCTTCCCACTGTGTGTGTGTGTGTGTGTGTCTCGTGTGACCTGATATTGGCGCCAACAGTCCTTCCCACTGTGTGTGTGTGTGTGTGTGTGTGTGTGTGTCATATCCTTGTGTCACCCAGTCATACGTCACAATGTCATACACTCACGTTACCTTATCATACTACGCAGTCATGTCATCCAGTCATTTAATGCAGTCATGTCACGCACAGTCAGTGTACAGTCAAGACTCATGTTTATGTTAATATTGATAAAATCACACAGGTAAAAGGGAAACAATGGAGAACCTTAGCTTTTGTCTTTAGTCAAGACATCGTCAGAGTCAACTGAATTACAGGGAATGAGAGACGCTTATGTACACAGGGTGACCTTACAAAACATGAGGTATATTTTGTCAACCTACACGATCATTTACTAAAATTCCAACCAAAGTTACACCATACTCAAAATTCCAACAAAAGTTACACCATACTCAAAATTCCAACAAAAGTTACACCATACTCAAAATTCCAACAAAAGTTACACCATACTCAAAATTCCAACAAAAGTTACACCATACTCAAAATTCCAACAAAAGTTACACCATACTCAAAATTCCAACTTTTCACCATACTCAAAATACCCAGATATTTTACACACACACACACACACACACACACACACACACACACACACACACACACACACACACACGCGGGTCACTGAGTACAAAAGAATAATAT